GGGGTCCCCACCCGGGCTGTGGTTTTTTTTTTTTTTTTTTGTGGGAGGGGGTCAAAAGCACCCCCTGGTGCGTGCGTGTCCCCTCAGGACCCCAGAACCTGACCTGCGTGTCCTACAAGCACCCGAGCGTGCGGGGCAGGCTGGGGGATGCGGGAGCGGCCGGAGCCGTTCGCTGCCCCCCCGGGCAGTGCTGCATCGGCATCTGGAACCGCAGCCACGCTCTGGTGCAGGGTGAGACCCCGGCCCGGCCGCGTTTGGGGAGGGGGACAGGGGGGCTGCGGGTTTATCCTGCACCGACGGGGGGCTGGAGGGGCGGAAGGGACTGGGGAAGGATGGAAAGGGGAGATTTTGGGGCAGCATGGAAGGGTTTGGTCCTGCCCCGAGGTGATTTTGGGGCAGCGTGGAAGGGTTTGATCCTGCCCCGAGGTGATTTTGGGGGAAAATGGAGGAGTTTGATCCTTCCCAGGGGGACTTTGGGGCAGGATGGAGGGGTTTGATCCTTCCCCGGGGGGACTTTGGGGGCAAAAAAGGTCCTGATCGTGCCGGGGGAGAGAAGAATTTGCGGGCTGGGAGCGGAGGCTGATCCTGTCGGGGGGGTCTGGGCAGGTTCTGGTCCCTCCCCGGTGGCTGCTCTTGACCTTGGCCTTGGGCAGAGGCGCTGGGGAGGAGCGGCTGCGGGGGGGTCCCGCACAGGGGGGTCCCACCTGCCCCCTCCCCGCCACCTCGGGGTGACCGTGACGCTGTCCCCAGGCTGCTGGGGGGGCCGGGGGGCCGCCTGTCCCTCGGCCACCTGCGCCCTGAGCCCCGCGGGACCCCCCGGCGGCTCCGTGCTCGTGTGCCTGTGCCACGGTCACCTCTGCAACGGCAACGCCACCGGGAGCCCGGCGGGGACCGGCGCGGCCGCGGGGCTCGGGAGGCCCCGCCTGGGCACGGGTATGGGGGCGCCGGGGGGTTCTGGGGGACACTCGGGGGTTGTGGGGCCCATGGGGGGATGGACCCCCAAGTGGGGGTAGGATCCAGAGGGGACTTGAAGGGGGCTGGAGTGGGTGGGGGACTCACAGGGGACCCGTGGGGTCCCTGAAGGGGACCTGGGGCTCACGGGGGGCTGGGGGAGCCATGGGATGTCCTAAACGGCCCCCCATGGCCACCCCGGACATCTGGGGCCCCGCCAGGACGGGCGGGCCCGGTGTCACCGCGGTCTCTGTCCCCAGCGCCCGGCCGGGGGGCGTCCGCGGGGACCCTGTGGCTGTGGGGGGCCGGACCCCTCCTCCTCATCCTCCTCACCTGCCTGGGCATCCTCGGTAGGGACAGGGACAGACGGGGACGGGGGGACCCTGGGGCACAGCCATCCCTTACCCGATGTCCCCCGGGTGTCCCCAAATGCCACAATCCCTGATGAGTGTGAGTCTCCCGGGGTGGGAGGGGTGTCCCCAAGTGTCGTGTGACCGGGTCCCTGGGGTGGGGGGGTCCTGGGTGTCCTAAGGACCGCTGGGTGGGGGTGTCCCGGGTGCGGTGTCCCCGGTGTCCCAGGGACCCTGAGCTGCCACATTCCCCAGGTCCCCTGGGTGCTGGGGGGGCTGGTGGTCCCTGGTGTCCCCAGGTCCCGTGTCCCTGACTGGCTGGGTTCTTGCTTGGGGGGGTCCCCCGATGGGGGTGTCCCGGTGTCCCTCCCTCATCCAGGGCTGCGACGGACAAGAGCCCACCCGAGGCGGCCACCGCGGGGGGGGCGGAGAATCGGGGTCCCCCCGGAGCCCCCCAGCCCGGACCTGCCTGCGCTGCACTTCCTGCAGGTGCGGGGACAAGGGGAGCCCACGGGGACGGGCACGCACGAGGGAGGGGACACCCACATGGAGAGGGGATGTGGGGACACCATGGCAGAGGTGTCGGGGGTGGCACAGCAGCGCTGAGGGTGCCCGGGGACACCCCGAGGGTGCCGGGCTTTGGGGACAGCCGGTGCCAGCCGTGTCCCCCCGAGCAGGTGCTGCAGTCGGGGCGCTTCTCGGCCGTGTGGCGGGGCACGCTGCGCCAGCGGCCGGTGGCCATCAAGGCTTTTGCGGCCGGAGCCGGCCGGAGGTTCGCTGCCGAGCGCGCCGTGCATGCGCTGCCGCTGATGGAGCACGAGAACGTGGCCAGGCTGCTGGACACCAG